GGAGGTGCTTGGCTGGGAACGTTAAAGAAGGAACAAGGCGCCGAAGAGAAGGCGTCCGTCTTTGTTGTAGAGCTTCGGTGGGTGAGGACGGCCAGCCGCAGGAGGAGGTCAGCGAAGGAGGCTCAGTTCATGGTAATTACTTTAAGTCTTTATCTCTCGTGAAAAACACGGCCATGCGTGAAATGAAGCGTGTTCATCCTGTCATCTGTTTAATCTGATTTTGCTTTGTTAATGCCGTGTGTAGTCTAGCATTCCCTACTAAAATACCTTTTCCCCGAGAAGGCTTGCCTGGTAAACAGCCACCCTGTTTACAGTATTCACCAAGGAATATTGTTTTTACCTGGATTCAAGAGTGCATGTGCTTGGGAGTGATTCTTACTGGTTCTCTTCTGTTTTGGAAAGCCCGACGGTGCATCAGTTCAGGTGTCTTTGTAGGTGCGTTTCAGTACCCAGTCGACTTTGTTTGCGTTGATTCCAGACCCTCCTGAATAATGAGTGGTGAAGGAGAATTTAGAGAAACACACTTTAATTAGGACAGGGCACGACTCTCTCCTGGTGTCGATGCTGCGTCTTAGCAGGAGAAAGTAATGTGCTATTGTTTCTTCAAAGATGTGTGCAGCCTTCATTTTGGATGGTTTTCTTTGTCTCACCTTTTGCAGTTTTTTATTAAGCCTTTTAAATATAGAGAATGTTAACATATCCCATTCTGCCAAAAATATTTAAAGTGTATATTTGGCTGTGCCTGAAAGAGGATTTTTTGACTCGTGGCTTTGTTTAGCAGGGGATGTTGCTTTTGGAGTTGAAATGAAATTGCAGGAAGGTGGGGTTCTGACCACTTACTTTGACCGCTGTATGACAACATTTTTTATTTCTATTAATACTTGCCTGGATTATTTTCTCAATCAAACCATAAATAATCTTAAATACTGTAATAAAAGACAGTACATTCCGAAGGAAAAATATTTAAGTGGTCAAGGCTGAGGTCGAAAAAACCTAAACGAATGCAATGTTAGTTTGTCCTTCTCGGGTGCCTTCTCCATAGAATCCTATTTTATGAAAGAAATGCTGCTTCTCCTGTTTATTCCTCAAACTTAAAAATTAATGTCTTTCCTGTATCAGACTGTGGAGTCCACAGAAACTTGTGTCACACGGTCACACGGCTGGCTGGCTGCCACCATGCGTCTGCTATCACTGGAGGCAGAGCCTTGCTGGTCTCTGAAAACCGTCAGGAATTATTTGCCTGCTCCTGAAACCCAAACATTGCCAGTTAAATAATTTGTTAAAGTAACTGCTCTGATCTAGAACTATGTCCCAGTTAAAGTGGCTCAGTATATTCTTTGACAGAGGAAAACTTCAAGACATTAACTATGCCTCCCCCTCCTCCCGTCATCCATCCTGAGGGGTAATAAATTGTCCGGTGTAAATTTCATTCTAATAACAGTTTTAAAGGGAAAAAAATGAATAATATTACAGAAGTTTGCCATGTCTGTAATAAGAAAGTTTGTTGTTGGTCGTTAATACAGTGTCTCTGTGACTGGAAGGAGTTGGCAGTGTTTTCAGTTTTGTGGGGACACGACCTGAGAACATTGGTTCTGCTTCACATTCCACCGCCTTGATACAAACCACGCCTGTCGCCTCGCAGACGGGTCACGCCAGCGGTGAGCGCGCAGGTTCGGTGAGGGTGGTTTGCTCCTCTCCAGAAGTCCAGACTCCTCTCCTGTGTCACTCTGTCATGCTTGGCCTGGCGTGCTCTCCTACGCAGGGTGGAGAAAAACCTCTGCATATCAACAGTTAGGCTTGGACACTGATTTTGGGAAGGAGAAATTGAGGCTGTTTCGTAATGTTCTCTCTCGCTCATTCTCAGTCTCTCCCAGTCTCCCGAAATACTCTCGAAATTGCCTTAGTCTTGGAGAATTTCTAAGAAATAGGCTTCCTTGACAGTAAATTATTGTTTTTTCTTTTCTCCACTGTCAAAGCATTGGACAACTGTAAACACTGGATAGACTTCCTTTCCGGAGCAGAGCCCCATTGAGCTGAGTGTCATAGAAAGATGTGGGAAGTAGTTCTAAGTGATGTTTATTCTCAAGGGCTGGATCTTAAAGACTTTCTGTGTGGAGGAGGAATTTTTAAAAAAATTTAAATATAAATGTATGTGTGTGCTGTGTGGTGCACTGGTATTATGATATCCCAAAGGGCTATTAACATATACTGAAGGGGCATTTTGATGAGACTAGATAAATGTTATTTGTTTTTGCAAGGTAACCAAAATATGTACTTTTATCTTCAGATGTATCACATCTTAACTTTTTTTTTTTAATATTACGTTAAGGGGAATCTTTAGATATTCCTGAGACAAAAAAATGAAAATAAATTTCTTGGACCCTTTAAAATGTTGTTCTTTTCCCTCCATAAAATTCCATAGCTCTTTACTGATGAGAGAATGGCATTTCTGACCAATTAAAAATAGGTCTATCAGCATGAACATAAACATATAATATTCTAAAATTAAAATATGATCTGTCCTATGTGATACTTCCTAACCTTTTTCTCCTAGGGGCTTATAATCACAGCAGGAAAACTGGCAGACAGTTTAAAAACTGAAAGTCATTACATGTAAAATATGATGTGCCACAAAGTAATGGAGCTGAACAAGGTCTGGAAAATATTCGTGTAAAAAGGAGAAGGAGAGATGGGTATACCTGCCGCCGTTGCATGCGTAGTTCCGGGGTAATTCCTATAGGTGGACTTGTGGCTGGTCCCTTGGGTGTCTGTAATATCAAAAGAACTGAGAAAGATTTGTCATTAGCAATTCGTAAATATTTCAGAGCTGACCCTCCCAACTTTTCCTGGATTAGAAAAATAATTTGAAGAGATAAGTGTAGTTATTTTTTCATTATTTTATTCTATAATCCTGGGCAGTTAACCATGTACTAGGCTCTGTGCCAGGCTTTATCGAGAGAAAGGTAGAAGGCACAGTCTCTTCCTGTAAGAAGTGCCACCGAGGAAGAGAAATAGCTAAATAAGTAATACGAGGGCACATGGCGAGGTGATCCCAGGAGGGGCAGCAGGTTCTTTAGAAAGGGGGTGAGGAGTGCCAGGGAAGACTCTGGAAGAAGAGAGATGGTGCCTGATCCAGAACTTACTGTTTCCCACCCATCTTGACACCACGCCCCCTGCTATTAATGTTAAGTAATGGCTGGTGTGGCCATAGACCTGTTTCATATTTTGTGCTAACTTTAAGTTTCACCATGTCATCTTATTTCTGATATGTAACATATGTAAAATGTCATTTCTCTTCTTCCCCCCACTAACGCTTCCCAGAATACACACTAGATTGTCGCATGGAAACAATTTTATTTTTAATAGATTTATATCACATAAGACTGGAAATTTTTTTTAATGTGAGTAATTTAAAAATGGATCATAGGGGATCACAAAACACTTTCACTACTGTTGTACTCTGAGTAATTTAGTGATTACTTTGGAACTGTTTGCTTTGGCAGGGACTATCATTTGCTCTTGGATGCCTGTAGACTCTTGAAAGTCATTTATTTTCTATGTGCTTGTTAAAGACGGGCTTGTAAAATTTGGGATTGGATTATAACACTTGGATTTCACCTTCTCATGATTAAGGCATCTGCTTTTCTTATACATCTAATTGGATTTAGATGTCTTTTAAATCTTGCCAAGTTTGGAGGGGAAGTCCACTTTAAGGGGCACCTGTTTGCAGTAGATTTTGCCTCCAGTAAAATCTCTACATGGAAACAGAAACTGCATTTCTGCTTCTGCAGGGCCTGCAACCAGGGAATCTTCCTCATTCTGTAGTGCGTTGCCCTCGCCAGGCTTCCACACTGACTTTTTCAAACGCTGTAAGATAAGCAGCCTTTACTTTTCCCACTCTCCTTACCCCATGCCGTGGCTGAGTTGGAAGTATCCCCCTCGGAGCAGCTGTCTGGCCCTGCGGACCTACAGGAAGCGGCTCCCCTCTGTTGTCCTCCCATCTCTGGTTTGTTCCTTCCCCGTGTACTTCTTTGCTACCCAACTTTTAAGTAGATATTCTCCAAGGCTGTGGCTTTTATCAGCTCACTGTCCGTGCCACCTGCTTTGCCACCTTGTGTCCAACCCCTGCCCCCCGCCACACACACGCCACCCTCCTCTGCTCCTTGCACAGCTGTGGAGCTGTGCTGCTCCCTCCGCCTGGAGTGTATGTCTCCAGACAGCCCAGGGCTTGTTCCCTCACTGCCTGTGGGATTTTGCTCAAAAGGAGCCATTTCCATGGGACATTCTGAACAAAAAACCATTCTAAACAAAAAACCATTCAAACCATTCCAAAATACTGTGTGTGTTTATGTTTTTAGTCTCTCCTCCTTGGAATGTAAACTCCATGAGATCAGAGGTTTTTTATCTTAACCTGCAGAACTTTGAACAGTACTTGGTCCATAGAGAGTACTTAGTCAGTCGTATTGAATGAATGAGTGAATGAATGAATGATTTCTGGCATGGAAGTGCCACAGTACAGATGAAAGGTACTCTTGTGTCAATCAGAAGCTCTGCCCCGGCCAGCCAAGTGGTGCATTGCTCAGCTCCTCCCCTTGAGTTGGCCTCAGTTTCCTGTTCTGTAAATGGGACATGTGATCAGATGGGCTCTAAGGCCAATCAGAACATTCACGCTATATCACGGTTCCAGAAAGGAGGTGATGTCATGTAAAATGTTACTTACGCGACTTCTCACAACTTGATGTTATAGTCTTCTTTCCATATGATTGCTATCTGTGGATAAATGTCTCCTTTAAAAAAATAGTTGAAGTGAGCAAAACACTTTGTAAATGAAGTATGTAAAAAGTAATAGATCTTGGTCTACTGACATGTTTGCTGTCTTTAAAAAATGTATTGAACAATTTTTTAAAGAATTACCATTTTCTCTTGCTAAATATATTTACTAGCTTGCCTATTTTTATCAAATAAAAAAGCAATAGCAATCCTTTTTCCCTTTTATTTTAGCTATTTCCTGCTGCAGAGAGTACTTTAGAAAAGGAAGATCTCCTGTGACCTCTGCCTACCATCCATAAAGTACTCATTCCCCTCTCAGGTAAGTATATTGCTTTGCTTTGATCCATTCTGAGCAGAAGGTATTGATTCTCTATGAAAACCTGTGTCATCATTGCATTAAGACAAAGTGGCTGAAGTTTCATTTTGCTGTCTGGCAAACTAAATGAAATAAATAAACAAATAAGAGTCCCCACCTTTGAGGTCCTTGCGAGGACCAAAATATCAGTGATGGACATTTGCTTTTCCAAGCGGTTCCATGATACACCTTCTACATATCTGCTAGTTGTTAAAGTTTGTTAAATGCTGTGTTCTATGTAGCAGTAATCTCCCGGGTATTCAGAAGGCCTCTTTTATGTGCATGGATTTGAAGATAATTTAAAGAATTAACATATTTGTACTCTAGTGGGAAGTGCACTCTGTGGTTGGGGAGTGGGGCGGAGGTGCAGGTCGGCAGGGAGGGCACTGGGAAATAGGGTGCGGGAGAGATCTTTGCAGGGTGGCCGCCCAGGGGAGACAGAGTCAAGAGGACATAACCTAAATCCCAGCCTGGGGACTAAGACTGGGGTGGGGGCGGGAAGTTATCGGGGGCAGCCAGGCCAGAAGACCCTGGGATGTGCGGAGTGCTTTGCCCCACACCCACGCCACTCCCGGGATTCCTTTTTGTTCTGCACAAGCTAATGGACAGCCCAGAAACACCTTTCCCGGTGTCTTCCTACAACCAGACCATCTTCCCAAGAAGGAGCCCAGGAAGTAGATGAATGGCGGTCAGAGTACAGATGGTACCCCCTATTACAAAAGAACTGAGAGCTCAATCCCACCAAATAAAGAGGTTGGAAATGTTTAGGAAAATGAAAGACAGTTCTCCAGTTAAGTCATGGCCGCTGAGAGTTGAGGAGTGGTAAAGAGCAGCCCTCAGGAGAACACACAGCCTCGGCCTCGGCGCCCACATTCTGGGTGACCCTGTGCTTGGATTTGATTGACAGCCTTCCCCCAGCCTCCTTCCCAGCATCCATAAATGATGTCCCATTGCTTATATACACCATACATTTTATAATTTATTATCATTGTACCATGCAGGATGTTATTAAGTGGATGTTACCACTCTTCAGAAACCTCAAACAAGAGTAACAAACAGCAAGCCAGTGGGGGTGCGGGGAAGGTGACGGCACATAGCAACAGAGGTAGCAGGTATCGCAGGCACAGTGTGGGCACATGGGAAGGGAAGGTCCCGTCTCCCGGTCAAGATAAACCATCTAGAGGAGACAGTCAGTTGCCTCCACGGGCATGAGTACCCGTCCTGAGCTTTATCAATATTATTATTTAGCTGGATCCTGAGTTGGGAAGGTTAGAAAGAATCAGCCGCGTGACTCATCGACACAGCGTCAGTCGGACCGCAGGCGGAAGTCTTAGCCCCGGTATCTAGTTCTCAAATTACGTCAGGTCAGTGTGTGCCAGTTACTTTGAGTTTTTTTTTAATGTTAGTTTTCTGATAAATTAGATAGAAACTTTTTTTAAAAAGTTCTTTAAAGAATGTAGTGGAAAGCATAGTTTTTCTCTTATCCATATGCAAATGTTTTTAACTTTCAGGCTGTTATTGCATTGAAGATTCATTAAAACTTTGTTCTTTTCTAAACTCTCAAATTATGGATAAGCAGCCTTATGAATGCACATGTATTATTATTGCCACTAAATTTTTCTCCCAAGATGCGCACTTAAGATTACTTTGTTTTTAGAGAACAAACTGGGTCTTTTTAAAAGTGATGCCTTCTTTAAGAAAACTAAAAAGGAAAATGAAGGTATGTAATAAAATGATCTTGTAGTATTCTTTTGTTGAAAATTTTTTGTTTTTTCACCCTAGAACTTGAAACCTCCTGAGTAATGTATATGTCAGTCATTTCGAAAGGAGTACACAAACGCCAATTTCTATGAGGTATTCACTTGATTGCAATTTCAGGAAATAAACTTGAAGTCTCCCTTTGTTTTTAGATTCTTGTTATCTTAATCAAACTTAAGTCATTGATAAAGTTAGTTTCTCCTTGAAAGTTTCTTTTTTCAAAACTTAACTGGAATAGACTTTTGTTCTTTTTATTTTAAGAGCTAGGTTTTTGAGAAATTGCTGGTAGTGAAAACAGCCCTTGGACATTTATGTGTGTGTGTTAAATGGGCCTGGGCAAAATACATACTGGTTTTCCCCAAACATCTTTTTTTCTAATTTGATGTTTCCCAAAGCCAGTCTTTCAGAATGAGCGGTTTGTGCCTTGTCTGTGACTCATCTTCCTTTCACGCCAGCACCGCTTACTTTTGCCTCTCCCCAAATCATCTCTTTGCCAAGAGGGTGACTCAGAGCTCAGGTTCTCTCAGCACGGACAGGTATGGCTCCTTCGGGGCCATCTCAGGTGACGTCGAGTGAGGTCTCCCCAGGAACCAGGGAGAGTCCGCCCCAGAGTGAAACCCACTGTGGCGTCCAGCGGAGCCTGGCTGCCGGCTACTTTTTCAAAAAGAAGAGGAAGAGGAAAGGGCATTCTCTGGGAAAAGTCACTGGGATTTTAGATTTTTAATCTCCTTATTCGCAAAAATCGTACAGGCTTCTGTGAGGATTGATATAGGGATAGTCTCAAATACTCCTGTATACAGAAAGTATAATTCTGTTTTTGAGGATTTGATGCATATTCACTATGAAGTTCAAGAAGAACTATTAATTACAATTTAAATTGTTAAATTACCAATGAAGTTATTTGACATATTTAAAATGTTTTTTAAATCAAATGAAAGATTCTGTGTTACTATGTGTGCACAATTGTTATTAATGGCTGTTAAAATATAAATTGGGTCATTGTAAATTCAGGCACTTGTTTTTTTTCCAAGATGAGTGGAAGGAAAAGTTGGTCTGTGGTTAGGCCCTTGGGCTGTGGAAGGACTGCTCTGTGACGCTGTGCTGGAGGCGTCTTCACTGGCCCTGGGGAAAGGTGTTCGAATCCTCATTGTGTTGATGAGCGATATGGGAATCGGAGGTTGAGCCTCAGACTGGAGGGCAGCCATGTCATTAGACACCTGCTGGGTATGAAGCCCAAGTCCACCCAAGGCTCAGCTATCAAACTCCTACCAGACCTTGCACACCAGTGAATTTCTTTACAACGACAGACTCATAAAGGCAACGGGAAAGTTGGTTGAGGGAAGTTGGGCAATGGGGAAGGGAGAATGGGAAGGTTACAAGGAAACATGGATATCTGTTGGAGTATTAGGTTGATCCATAGAATCATGAAAGTCTTCAATTGATAGGAGTAGAAAAGAGACCAAAAAGTCACATAAAGAGGGAATGAGACTGTTAAGAGCGTACTGGTTAGAGAGAGGAGGCCATACAGTGATTGCAGTTGTGTTTCAAGATCTTCCCATTTTCTTCCGAACATGTAAAGCATATGCTACCAACTCTAGTGTGGACTGAGAAAACATTCATGCGCTCTGACTACCCAGAGAAGTTCAGAGAGCTGTGATACCAGTCGGAATGTGTGATTAATGAGCACCATGGTAGCCTCTCCACACTGGTCTCTCTCTTCCATAGCATGGGATAAAAGCACGTTAAATACTCAATTCTGATGTGGTATGTGTGTGTATCCATGTTCAAAGATGCAACAGAAAACCCCAAAATACTCCCAATCTGAATTTCTTTTTCTTCGTGTAGTCCCTCCTTTCTGGTAGGGGAGGAGATGCCGCCTTCTCTACACATGGCCTTGGGTAGTATTTGAATGGGCCGACTCGCAGAGCTACACGTAGCACGAGTGCATCATTGTGCTGGAATACTTACCTCTTGCTTTTTCCGTGAGTCCCGTGGGTCTAATTCTCTATAAGATATGTTCACATCCGAGGTCCGTATCATCCTTGGTCAACTAGAGACAGCTGTCACTGTGACAGGCATTGTGGAGTCTTCCTCTGGCAGGAAGCCTCCTGGGGGCCTCTATTCCTCACCACACCTACCTGTTCAGGTGTCCAGCCTGCCGACTCTTGCTTTGAGCCGTGGTGCCTCATGGACCCTCTTGATCACCAAACAACTCTGTTACTGACTTAGCGGATGCCAGTGACCTGCTCTAATCTTTGCTCCCACACCAGTCCATGTAGGGGGCTGAAAATTCTTTTACAAAAGTTCTTTTCATTGTACTTCCCTGCTCCAACGTCTTGTTTTTCCAGTTACCTATTGATCAGGTTTACATTCCAAAGCCACCTCTCACCGGCTCTCCACACTTCTCCAAAGTCAGTGACTGTGGCTGTCCGCTATTCTCTGCACACCTGGCTCATTGGAGTTTATGGGCTGCTTCTTCCCTGGAATCCCTTATCAAGTCTTCTGCCCTAAAGTCTAGGAGTTCCTTTAAAGCCCATTTCAAAAGTTACTTTTTCCGTTAGAAGGAAAAAAAAAGTTGTTTTAGCCAATCCAAGAATTTTTGCCATTCATTGAAAAATTCCTAATTTATGCAGCATATTTCTTCACAGTTTAATATATACTAATGTCATTTACAAGTGGTCTTGGAATTATTCTTTGCTTTCTTTAAGCGTTTATATGTTACCTCTCAAATTATATGATAAATTCATTACAAAATTTTCCCTTAATCAGAGCACCTAGGCTCTCACATTTGAGAGGGTGAACAAACAAGCTGTGCCTTAGCAAGCATTCCGCGCAGTGCACTGCAAACACACGGGCTGGGCTGAACGCCTAGAGGAGATTGGGGGTCATTTTGTAGCATCAGCCCTCTTCTAGGGACTGGGTAGCTTCCTGAAGAGGAAGAAAGTGACTTATCAACCCAGGATGCCTTTATAAAAATAAAAATTTTATTCAACAACAAAGAATGGAAAGCTGTATCGTCAGTTCTTAAATGTCCATAATCAAGTGACATCTTAATGGATATATAGAAACACAATTAAGGAAAATAACAGCATCTCATCTAGAAGATAGAACTGACATCAGGAAACACTACAAGTAGAAACTCAGACAAAATCCCACTCTTCTGTGATGGCCGGGTTCAGATTCCCTCTCCGGTTTGAAGATTTTTT